ATATAATATAATACAATAGAATATAATATATGATAAATATTTAGAATATATATATATATATATATATACACATATATGCATGTATACATATATATATATAACCCACCCCAAATTCCCACGCACCCCAAACGCAGCGGAGACATTCCCACGCACCCCAAACGCAGGTAGCGCTGGTAGGTAGGTAGGTAGGTAGGTAGGTAGGTAGGTAGGTAGGTAGGTAGGTAGGTAGGTGGGTAGGTAGGTAGGTAGGTAGGTAGGGAGGTTAGGTAGGTTAGGTAGGTTAGGTAGGGTAGGTAGGGTAGGTAGGGTAGGTAGGGTAGGTAGGGTAGGTAGGGTAGGTAGGGTAGGTAGGGTAGGTAGGGTATCCCTGTCCAACTGTCTCTCTGTGGTTCTGACTGGCGCTTTTAGCACTTTGAGGACCCAAGGGGCGACAGTCCCCAACTGGCCGTCCTTTATTCTGGTCGGCGAGGCTGCCACCGAAGCAGAAGGGTTGCTGGCACTGGCAGGTCGAATGGGCCGGTCTGGCTTTGCTAAGCAAGACTTCGCTTCAACTGCCTCCAGGCCATGGAGCTCAGCAAGCCCCGCTCCTCCTTGGGACATGGGTCTTGGAGGTTTTGGCGTTGGTTCGTGCAGGGGCGAACTCTCTGTTTAACACTGGCCTCGGTGGGGCGATCGCGGCCACCACAGTGACAGCCCACCATCCTGGCTACAGCTCTTTGCTAGTATCGGTACTGCGGTTGGGTGCTCAATCTGGGCTCTCTGCTCAGAGAAGATGCGAGTCCTCAGCGTGCATCCGCACATCCCTCTGTCCACCAGATGCTCCACTAGTGGGGTCCAGAGTCTAGAGTTTGGGGACCTGCGGCCCTCACAGCCGCTGACTAAGGTTCCACCTTCCTCAATATTGGGGCCTGAATAGTTAGATCGTGTAATTCTATAGGAACCCCCAAAATCACACAGGTAATTATTCAGGCCCCATATTACGCCAGCCCGTGGTACAGGTCAAAGGCTGAGTAAGCAGTGGAGGCCGACTTTTTCGATGCTGCCCGGATCTTCTCTGCAAGCCCCTGCAAACTGGAGACGGTCAGGTCCGCCTTTCGATCCTTCGCTGCATGTTGGGAAATGGGAGTTCCAAAATAAGGGGTCCCTTTTTGGGGATCCTACTATTTAGGGTACTATATTAGGGTCCCCTATTTTCTGCAACCCCCAAATGGTCACATTCTCATGAGCACTCTAGGGCTCTAGCAAGGTGCTTCTAGGATGCACTCTGTGCAACACCGAGCCAAGGGTCCGCTCCAGCAGCACGCGCAGCAAGCTCTGCGGCCGAAGTCACGGAAAAGCGATTCTCCGCTTTTCCAGGCCGGCTTACCAGCACGGTCCTGCCAGAAGTGGCTGCTTGGAGGCTCGGATGCTCGGTCGCGAAGGTTTTTTCCGACACTGAACATCAGAGCTGCTTAGATGCGACTCTCAAAGGCTCCGGAGGCCGACGCGAGCAGCAGCGCTGACATCCGTCGCTGGATCGTCGCCCACATGCCACCATGACCTCGCCAGCTGAGTGCAGGCTGCCTAGAATCATGTCGGATGCTTACGCCGCATGCAGCTGCAGGCAAGATGCTGAAGACTGCCACTCCAGCCCAAATCTCGTGCTCTCGCAACAGCCGCTTCGAAAATGACCGGAGACGGCTTCCGGTGAGGGAAGATGGCATCCTAGACCACAAAACGGTGACCACCCGTAACTGAAGCCGGCTGCAAAGCTTCAGAATTTCTACGTTATTCAAATTACTATTACTATTACTATTACTATTACTATTACCATTATGCGTTATGTATAAATACAATGTATATATATATATATATACACATCACAAATAGAGTACCTAATTCGATCCCCCAGTCCTCTTCACCGGAAGCACAAAAAGAAAAGAAGGGAGCCAACTTCGTGATCTGCTGCGGATTGCCGGCACCGTTGGTAATCGCCCCAATGATGGCCCCCGAAGCTAACAGGCCTTCCTGAAGAAGCAGTCATTTTAAGATATATATATATATATATAGCGTTGTTTTTTGTATGTGTATATATATACACACACACACATATATATATATACATATTGTGTATGAGTGTATATTGTGCATTATATATTTTGTACAATATCTACAGTAAAATTAGATGTAATACTTACGACATGCAGACATGCATCCATCCATGCATGCTTCCCAGGCATACTTCCAGGCCCTCCACACATACATATCCAAGCATGCTTTGCGTATGTTGTAGCAGGAAACGGTCGGCAGTTTAAGCAATCTGAACAGAGGCTAGCAGCTACTAGTAGCACCGATGTTCATTCAACGCTCTTCGGTGGGGCAAATGCCCCTCACGCTCAAGGGGCTTCATTTTGGCCAGGCATCGAGGCTTTCCAGCACATCAGGGTAGAGGCAGGATGCTGCTGCATCACCCCTTGCTCTGATCCACTGTTTCAGAATGCGCTCCTTGCTGTCTCACGCGTCGTCACAGAACGCGCTTCGCATTCAACGTCACGCAACATGCCAGAGTCTACTACTCTTGTCAGACAAGGGACTGCAGAACGTCTGTCACCTCCCAGGAGCTCCTGGCGAGGACTTGCACGCAATTTCCAAAAATTGGGGGCCCAACCACGTCGAACCACAAGCGGGGGTATGCCGGAAGGCCGAACATCGAACATCAAAGGGCAAATCGAAAACTAACGACTTTATGTTTGCAAGTTACTCGCCATGGTGGCAGTGATACATCTATCGGACGTGAGCTCCTCGTAAGCTTGACGACGTAAGCAGGTGTAGCTGGCATTTGCCCCTGCAGGGGTAGACCGGATGCGGCGCATCGCAGCCATCACCTTCGAGCTCTTGACACAAGAGAACAAAGGACACCTTGGGTTTTTGGTCGGTCTTCGTTCTAGCCTGTCAATGAGCACTCCTTCTGCCACTGTTGCCGTGATGCTTTCAGCTTCTGAATATGTGAGTTGATGTCTTTATATACGCAAACATACCTTTGCTCCTTCATGGCCCGATCTAAGCTAGATGCTGCTTGGGAAAGCACCATGTCAAGGGGATCTGGCAGCCATGCATGGTGGAGATCGGCTAGAGCCACAACACGAGGCAGCGCGTCTCACAGGCCTAGTCTAGCCTAGGAGGCTAGGACGCCTCAGAAACACAGACCAACAGCAGACAAACACCACAAGCATGCCCGAAAGCTGTGAAATCAAGGGTACCTGGCAATACAAAGCCTGCCCCTCCGCTGTTGTGGTTGCCGTGCTTTCCGAGGCGCGTCATCAGCAGCCAACAACTTGTTGTCCCTTGCCACCTCGCCGTTGGCCTGAGCGGGAGGCAACTAGGCGAGGCTGCGACCTTAAAGACTGTGAAGCCTTCCCACCGTCCCACAGTCCTGATTAACCACGTCCACCAGGGGCCAGAGAGTATCATCTAGGTCAAAGGAGATGACGATCCCATCGCCTGCCCGGCACCGGCTCCTGTCGCTCGGCATCCGTTGACAACAGCAAGTGTGGAGTCTGGTCTGGAAGTAGTGCCACGAACAGAACGCCCCCCCCCCCCCCCCCGCCCCCCTCTTCACGAGTTCCCTCCCCCAGCTGATATTCGTGGGCCTCCAACATGTGCTGAAGCGAAAACTTGCGTGGCTTCGACTGTGTTTCACATGTTTGACACAGGCTCTTTGGGTACAATAAACTATCGAGAAACTCAACAGGGGCTTGCCGAGACGGCGCGCAGCCGTGGCACAATTCCACAAAGTTCCTGCCCGTGACACACGTCCTGTGAGCATAGGTTGATTCAGCGCGGCTCCAGCCACAGAAGAGCAGATCCTCCCAGGGGAACTGGCCCAAGAGGCCACGCAGCTACGTGACAGCTTCAAAAAGCAGGCGTTGAAGCTTCTAATCATAATATGTTGTGTTGCTACACTCGCTAGTGCTCTTATGGTGCGATAGCTTCCAAACCCAGAATATGTGTACGGTTTCGGTATGTTTCGGCTCTCAACTCGGACAATGCAGGCTTTAGGGTTTTGCAGCTTCGGTGCTCACTGTCACATGGGCATGCGTTGGAGGTGAAACCTAAGCTCGAGGCTTGCTGATAGATAGAAACACTGGGTGCCTCAGGCAACTTAGCACTCGTCAATGCGAAAGTTGCGTGTGATAGACCGATTGTGGTGGTCGGGTACGTGTTTGAGCCCACCGGCCAAGTATGTGGACGGGCAGGCCCAGGTACTGCATTGGTCTATCTGTGAGACTTTGTCGCCAGGTTGGAGAACTATGTCGAAGAGAGCGATTGCTACTGAGACCATACGACAGGCAACCGCGCCTCTGTATATAACACTGCAAAGCAAAACATGCGTCGTTAAAATCCATCAAGACTGCTGACCCCTTCAGTCTCCGCCCTCTCGCTCGCTGAGATCAAAATCCTGTTGCACTTCACCAAATTCCGGGGCTTGAGTTCCAGGGACCTTCCCAAACGGAGCCACCACCAAACACCAGAAGTACAGCAAGCCTCTGCCAAAAGCTCGCTTACTTTCTTGGAGGCAGTCGGCGTTTTGCAAGGCGTGCGAAAACGCAGAAGCTCATTGACATGTTCCAAGTCCCGCGACGGCTCGTTGTGCTGTCTTGAGAACGAGGGTCCGGCTGAGACGACTCATGTGCAACCAGGAAGACAAACTCTTGAGCCAAAATGGCCGATGGATTTAGGGCTATATAAGGGTCTGCAAGCTTGTGAACAAGCTCCTTAGTCTGGCATGCCCAGCAGATCGCCAGTGCACAAAGCGCCGCAGCGCGCCGCAGTCTCTTCATGGCAGCGCACGTTGTGCAAAGCTGTAAAGAAGTGGGGAGTGCATTGTACCTGCAAAGCATCTGCTGGTACTTTCTCGCTTGTGACTTTCGTAAAGACTCCTTCACTGATCTATGCGCAGATTCTGCAGTAAAAGGGTTCAGTCTACAACGAAGCCAATAATTTAGGTCCCTCGCTGCAGCAATGCAATGCTCGAGCCAGCACAACTTAGCTCCAGCGCAAGCTGCCAAGACTCCATGCATGCTCACCTGACACACCGTGGGGGCATCCGCTTGTAATAGTCTTAGGGCCATACGCGCAGGCTCTGTCCAGAACATCTTGCACCTGAGGAAGGTTGCCCGTACTCGAAAACACTATACTTCTAATCCCCCGAAGCTGTGGCTGGCACTGCGAAATTGCTCTCTGCACTCTCCTGGTGCGCAGTCACCCTGCAGGACAGCAAGGCATAGTGAAGGCTGAATACCTCAGAATCATGCGGCTCGGAGCAGCATGGAGGTCGCAGCTCCCTGTTTGAACCCTTGAGGTGGTGTCGCAGGAGGCGGCGTGGGTCTAGTGCTCAAACCTTTGGAAAATCCTCGAGATCTACTGGATGCCGGATGCCCGTCAGCCACACCATCTTCACGTGGTATCACATTGCCACTCACGATCACCAGGTCCTAGGCATCCTCTCCATGGCTTAAAAACTCGATCCAAGCGTTGCAAAGCTTCGGAAAGAGATGACAAAGGGAGGCGGCCAGATTGAAAAGCACGGGTCCAAGTTGAGACTTGGAGGCAGCCGCTGGTAGCCATCAGGTGGTGTAGATCATGGTAATGACATGTTCTCCAGCCAAGACCGTGAACAGGGTTGCAGAGCAGCCTCCACCATGACCCAGGGTGGCACAGATGTTGTATCTGATCCTCCACATCACACGCGCACGCTGGCTACAAAAGGCAACTTGTTTGCCTGGTGCGGACAACCTTGGAAAACCGGACAGTGGTGCTTGAGCTCGTCTCCATTCCGAAGCCATAGCGCAGACTCTTCGTGCAACTACAACTGATTTCAAACCCCAGCGCCGTAGAAAGTTTGTTTAGACCCTCCAGCAGGCAGGTAGCCTGTGGCTGCAAGCGGACACTAGCTAGGATTCACAAAATGAGAACAAAGAACCCTCAATACCTACCCTAGACTTCCCACACACTGGTAGTAAAGTAGATTCGGAATGGAGGCCACTGATTCCCCGGCAACTCCTTGCCAGTAGCCTTCCTGACTCGGCCGTGAGCGGGAAAACTGGATGGGCAGATGGGAATCCGTAACAGTACTAGCGATGGATGGGAATCTTGGTCATTGAAGCCCCTGTCATGAACAAGGAACCTTGTCGCACAAAATAGCCACAAAAGCAGCGATGATGTTAGCAGCTAGCATTAGTATACATAGAATTTGCCCAGCACGTACGAATTGAGCTGCATTGCACTCGAGGCTCAAGCACAGGTGCAGAGCTGCAATTTGGCTTCTGCATCTCATATATTCCAGGATGCTTCCGCTCCGGGGCCCTTCGGAAAAAGCATTAGAATAGGGCTTCCGAGGGTATATGCCTAATATATATATATATATATACACACACATATGTTTATTTGTTGGTTTATTTACACACACAGATGGAACCCCCTTACAAAAACACACACACACACACACACACACGCAAACACGCACGCGTGCGCAAGCTGACGAGGTAGTACATCCACCGTAAGCTCTACCAAACGCTCACTTCGGTGTTCGTGGCATCAACCGATGTTTTCCGGAAATCTTCGAAGAGCCCAGCCCTAATTTGCAACGTCTGCATATTATCCAATCACATGTACAGTTCTAGAAATTCTAGATCCGCCCCCCGAAAAAAAGGTCGCCTATGTTTCAGATAATCTCGTGCACTGGGTTCTGACATTTTGCTCGAAGATCCTGGAAATTTGTCTTACGATACTGGTGCTGGTTTAGGAAGTTTTTAATTTTCGACACTTCTGAAATGTTGGTTTTAACAAGGTTGGAAACCTGAGCGAATACCTTGTCGTGTCTTGTCCAGCTCCTACCCCTAATAGGTACTACCCACTCCAACAACATTTATAATCTTTTCTGAGGTTTACATGGCAAGTTGAATACGGCAATGAACGAAGACTGCAGTATCCAAATAATGTTCAGAAACGCCTAGGTTTTCAGCGCTGGTATATATTCACGACTATCTCAGTGCGCAGTATTTGTTTGCTGATTTCAGACTAGCACATGAGCAACATTCAGCCATTGCAGCAGTGGAAAAGTCGCAGTCACACATTTCTTCAACTTGAACCAATAACATGTAACATGATGTAACCAATACTTCTTCAACTGCAAGAACTACAACAACATATAATGTTTCAGCACGGACGTACTTCTTCACCAGATATTACTTGCGTAACACTTGACGGATCTCAAGCGTTACTTCCGCAACAGTTGCTCAAGACCTGGGCTGAATATCGAATGTTCACGTTTGAATGCGTATCAAATAACTCAAACATTGAACGAGAATCAAGCAGCTACTAGTGTAAACAGGCTTCCCTCTTAGGATGACAGTTAAGCGACATCAGATGTTCTTATATTGGTATACCTCAGTACGAAACCGTTAGTCAGGTATCGGGCGAAGGTTCAAACGTGTACGAAGATTTGACACGTGTGCTCATTGCACGGGTCTAGCAGGAGAATACCGGTGATGATGCAGGTGGTGATGACGGTCTTCAGGAAATACTGATGACGATACAAACAATACTGACGGTCGTGATGAGAAAAACGGCCTGACAAGTAGATATGCTTTACAGCTGTTATATAAGTATATACTCTGGAGGCGCAAACCATTACATACCATTACCAGCTATTCAGACTCCTATGTTATCCCACCGCGTGTTGACTACAAAACTTCGGTTTGGTGGAAAGTTAGCCGGCCATCACTGTGCAAGCAGCAGGCGAGTTCCAACAACCCGCTGAAAAAAATTCGGTTCTGCCCGCACTCCTCTGGAGCGCAGGTCCGTGCAAATTGAACTGAACATACTGCCCGAATTTGCGCGGGCCTACACTGCTAGTCTCTTTGCTTCCGGTTGCCCTGCAAACTCGAGCCTTAATGCCCCGGGTGGCTGCTCATAGCCCTAAGACATGGTCAGAGCAGCCTGCCGACGCTCAGCTTCCTCGTAGCGCAACCTGATTCTCTCCAGCTTACCTGGCCGAAGATAGGCATATGCCAAAAAGGCAAGGTGTGAATTGCAAAGCTCAGGAAAGTAGGGGTCCGGGTCATGGGGTCCCTTTTTTCGGGGATCCTTCTACTAAGGATGCTGCTCCTTAGGTCCCTGGTCTCCGAATCTCCCAGAGTCTATCCGTGATCCGATGCTTACTCCAACCCACTCCAACCTACTACCTTTCTCTGCTTCTATGGGAGTCGGTGCGTGCATCTAGCCATCTGTCAATCGGTCCTTCTCTCTATCGTGTGTGTGTGCATTCGAGCGAGCTTGCAAGCGAGACAACGTGCGGGCTTGCACGCGCGCAGAATCAGCAGGCCTGCAAAAGTGCGAGCAAGCACATGCGCTTGCGCGACGACCGTTCGCACGTGCAGAACATTGGGTCTTTCTCAATCTCCAGAGCCCTGCCTTGAATCGGACGTCGCCTCGGCAAAGACGGTGCCGTACAGTTGAGTTCCAGATAGCAAGCACTCTGGTGACCCTGGTGTAGATATTCATGCTGAATCTTGGTCCACCCGCATCTTCAGCGTGATCAAGATTGCCACATGCCCGTACAATGGCTACTTCACTGTCAAGCAGTAGAAGACCTGCTAGTCACTGAGGTCTGTGCGGAAGGCGCACGCTGATCCAAGCGATGATGCGAGGCACCAGGGGCAACTTCAAGATCCTCCAGGGAGTCATCGGTGGTCATCATCCGGCGATGAGAGATGCAGCAAACCAGCGGAGCAGAGGTGTGTATTCATATCTGACTCGGGCGGAAGACATCCTTTCAGAGGAATGAGGCCGGTAAGCAGACATGTGACTGAACTGAGAACCGTGAAGCGAGGAATTCACGAAGGGAGTTGGCTACCCGTAGTTCCCGTCACTGCGAATTCCGGGCAACAACCCTTGCGCATGTCGCCCGATCGCCGGCTTGTCTGTGCATGTGCCACATACCCACCTACCTACTTACTTCCCTACCTACCTTCCGACCTACCGACCTTACCTTACCCTACCCTACCCTACCCTACCCTACCTACCTACCTAGATACGTACATACGCACATTGACACAATCATATGTTTAGCACCCGCACTCGACCATACGTACATACACATATACATACATGCATACATACGACAGGTGGTCCGCACCGGATCTTCGTCCTGGGGATCAAGGGTACTCGAAGAAGCCATCCAAGGTATCCAACGAGGACATCGGCATTCTTCGATACCTGGCATGCCCCTGACTGAAGACAGCTCCAAATCTGCATTGGATTCACATGATTCCCTTTCAACAACCTCCAGTGGAGGGAGGCCTGGGGAAAGCGAACGAAGCGCTCGATATACGGCAGCAGGTCGTCCATAAATGGGAGGACATAGGGCAAGTGCCTGCACAGAAAATCCAACGAACGCATGTCTTCACTTGTCCTAGCCACTTTTAGCCAAGCGGCGGATGGGCAAGGGGCAGGTGTGGAGCCAGCTGATCAAGTCGCGGGATCAGGTAGTCCACATATGGTAGCAGCTTGGGGAGGTAAGAGTTCTCCTCTGTCTTTGAGCTTGGACTCTCGCATGAGCTTCTTGGACTTTGACTCGTGGTGCAATGCATTCGTTCTCGCTCTAGGCATGACAAGCGGTAGATTCCACCCCCACAGCTCCTCGACGCGTGCTGCTGCAGAGCCTGTGCAGGGAGTTGCTCTTCAGGCTTTGCACTTCGCACTTCACCTCGGGTGCAAAGCTTCGCGACGAAGGAACCCTGCTTCGGCAGCCTTCCCAGTTGTCCACGAGGTTGTCCACGAGACACTCCTACGAAGTGCGACAAGCTCTCTCAACACGGAGTACATGAGCGGAGGCATCCTCCATCTTCGCAACTTGCGGCTCATCAAAGCATTGGTCCAAGTTTGGAAGATTCCGATCACGACCTGCAGCACATGGCATCAATCTCAGTGGCAGGAGGGACAGGGCATGACATGGGGCAGAAAGACAAACGGCGAGAGAGGCACGAAACGACAAAGATGCGCTTACAACGAAGCATAGCTTGACGAGCGCTGGCACACCTAGTTCTGCATAGGGCATAAGCAAGTCGAAGTGGTCCAATAAAGGCCCGCAGTGCTTTGCCAGCACGTCCTGAGCTGCGCGAAAGGGGACCTTGAAAGGTTTGCTGGCTATTTTCGTCTGGATACTCTGCGTCTTCGTTCTGTCGCCGGGTCAAAAGGTCCCAGGCAAGTGCCCCCACTCGCTTGCGCAATCAAGACAAGGCAGCAAATGTATAAGCTCAAGTTGAGTGTCACCGGAGCTTCTTCCGTGCAACAGCTTTCTCTGCTGTTTTCTTTCGCAGCTCGCGAGACTCGAGACTGCCCAACCCCCGCAAGTCGCTTCAATTGCGAAGCATTGCGACGCTTGCAGAAGTGCTTCGTTGGGGCTGGCAAATGTTGAAGGCACCTCCCCACGCTTCCGTCTCTTCCCTCTCTTTGCAACTTCGTCTGCCTTCAGCCTCTCTGCGGCTGTTCTGCTGTGTCATATTATCATATAACTCGTTGATTTGATGTATTGTGTTTGCTGACAGGCTTGCAGGTACAGTTCTGGATGCATCACGTGACTCGCTAGTGCTGCAGGCCCGGTTGCCAACCGTGCAACTAGGTGCCTTCAAGCTTCCAGGTGCAGGAGGATGTACGGCAAGTGCGGCTCGATCCGGTCCATTCTCTCCATAATTCGGTCTAAATGCCTCAGATGCTCTCAAGGCAAGGCTGGAAGAGCCGGATCTCGAGACTTAGATGCAGAGGAAGGCTCGGCTCCACGATGTCCAAGTACTGATCCAAAATTCGGACGATACCTGGGCGCTCTTGGGATTTCGGGTATATTTTCTACTTTGCTTCGGGACTCCATGGATTTCGGGTATATCACATCGGATAAAAATTTCGGCTCCCGCACACGATGCTTTCAACCCCAGATAGTCGCACGCTTCAATTCGTGCTCTTGCACCCGGGTCGTGCCATGCCGATGAGCAGCCGGGCACATGAGGCCCAAGGATGGACAGCCTCGTGTAGATGGAGGGAAGATGGCTCACGATTGAAGTGGAGTGCCTCAGGGCTTCATGTTCAGCAGTCATGAAGGAGGTGGAAAAATCATCTATACTCTACTGACTCTACTATATGAAACCCCTGAACTTGCAAGTCGATTCTCTGGACTCAACAACCAGCCAGCCGAGTCTCGGAAGAATCTTCTTGGTCAGAGATGGCTCCACCACCTCAGTCACACTTAGCGGGTCATAGTAGCTTGGGAGTTTCGGGTTCAAGCCACGCCTTTAACCCTCTTTACATCTGGACTTGATGAATGCCAGCGCCCCACTGATCAACCCTAAACGCTTTACATGTCTACATACTCTAAACTCAGTGCATCCTGGGAGCCAACCGGCTTCCAATCGAGAAGCCGGCCCGCGTCTGGTCGGCCAGGTAAGACCAGGGATCTGCAGCAGCCTCGGTCGGCCCCCGTATGACCATAAATACAATTTAAAATGCACAGATGCAGACATTGGCGTATGCACGAATGTATGTAAGATTGCCTGTATGTGTGTATACTTGTGTATATGTGTATGTACATACATGTACGTGCACACATATTGCGACAGCACTTGAGAAGGCATGTTAACCTCAATGACTCAAGCCGCCGCCTCCACTCTCTGAGTCGAGCAGCAGCGACCCGTTGCAGAAGGACTCGAATGGACTCGTTCGGCGCGCAGTCCTTTGGCAAGTAGACAGATTCGCGCATCCCGCACACCAGGCTCGGTGCCTCCTTACCAGAACCCCTTCTACATGCACATCTTCCGCATAGTTTCTGGTTATCAACTCAAAAGCCTGCCATGTGTGACCTCGCCAGGCTCCTGCAGCGATCGGAAGATTCTCCTTGTGGCATCCTTTGCATCTCTGGCCGTGTGCCCCGAGAGGACGAGATCCACACAAGGCCGAAAGGCAGACAAAAGGTTCGCATACCTCGGTTCATCAACATTCCGAAACCCGATTATTTTGCACGTATATTTTATGATGTTATTGTATTATCATATTATCATATTAGTATAGTATCGTATCATGTTCTTATGACGTCCAACAGGCCAACACAACCCAGCTGCAGCTCGATTTCGGCTAACTTGCCCGCATTGGACCGCCCTTCTTCTTCTAGCACCTGCACATCCACGTGTTGCTGTCATTTTGGGGGAATAGCAACACCGACAAGCTGCAACCCACCTTATACAGGCGACCTGCGTAGAGCATGTCGACCAGCGTGGAAACGGCTATGCCATTTTTGGCCTCCCGTCAGAACGCCTTCAGGTCTGCTTCCCCTTCTACACTATGCCCGGGCCGTTTCCTTGCCACTCATCGCAGCAGCCAGGAGAGAAGGGCTGCGATGCACGAGCTCCAGGGCCTGACCCGGAGACAGCGGAGGCAGGTCCCCTGCCGGGGCGGTGCTGCCTTCTCCCTTGAGCTGATCGCAGCTAGCCGAGCCAAGACTTCAGAGACGGCATCGGACTCGACCTGCCAAGAAGCTCCGGAGCAGAAACGTTGCCCGAATGTGGCCACGAAGGTCGTTTTGAATGCAAGCCAGTTGCCAGCAGAGGGGTCGCATCTGCCTCGATGATCTTCAAAGCCTGCATAAAGGGCGGGCACGACTGCATTACGCATGCCCGAATTTGCATGCAGCATCCAGGCAACCTACTCGAAGGTCCGCAAGCATCAGATGGTGCTGCTCCAACGTAAGCCACCAGGAAGTATGAGTCTCTAAAGGCTTCTCAATGAAAGCCTAGAAGGACCCGGATAACAACTTAAGAAACTCGAAAAAATCCGCAGCGCCTGGTCTTCCGAGACGCCCAAAGTTTGCACCAGGCGAGGCCATCGCTGCTTTACTTCTTCGAAGCCGAAGGGCTCACCCAGGAAATTGTTGTCTAAGACCTCAGGCAATCTTCCAACGCCTACCGCCAAATGACGAAGAGCAAAAAGAAAATGCATCGTATAGACTCTAGATGTGTATGTGCAAGTGTATATGTATATACATATAATATCATATATATATGATATTATATGTATACACACTGCATGTACGGTATTACACATGTCTACTATACCGTACATTGCAGAAAAAGTATGTATATCATAGGATTTCGCTTGCGGCCCGAGGCTCTGCCTCCGGGTGCTGTCGAAGCACCGCCCGCCAGGCATTCTGCAAATGCACCGTGTGGTCCCTTGGCGGTTTAGGCTAGAAGTCTAGGTGCTCCATACTGAAAGGAGACTCCGCATGACTTTACCAAAAGCATGGGCATCTAGATAAGGCGTCCGCACACAAGGGATCGCTTGAGTCGGGTGATGACACTTTGGATATCGTGATGTGTAGTGTAGGCCGATGGTTAACTCATTCCATTCGCCAGTCCAAGTTTTTGCTCCTTCGGACAGCTAGGGATCCCTGCACATCCTGACACCTAAACCCTACGGCACACCCTGAAGCCCCAAAACCTAAACCCTAAAGCCCCGGCGTGAGGCACGTAAGCTGAAGCCGCAACGCACCCTAAACTGGCGAAAGCTTGCCGAAGCGAGAGGAGGTCCGGGGCGATAAGCGACGACTCTCATGAGGAATCAAGTCCCCTTATACTAGAGCCCCATTGGAAGAGGGTTGCGGGGTACATTATACTATCATGATAATAAGGAGCCAAAACCCTAGGCCCAGTCTAATTATTAAGGCCCCTACACCTGACGTCACACAAGATATGCGCCACAGCAATCTCGGAGGGATCCCCAACCCCTCCAAGTCTTACTCGAACTCCCCAGATATAAACCACATAAGCCTTATCTTCGTTCTGCTGCGGCAGAAGGGGCCCCCAATCCCAAAGCCGTGGATTCCGCCGGTCTGGAGCTTTCGGTCCGAGAGCGAAGAGCACCCTAAACCCGAAAAGGTCACGTAGAGCGCGAGAATCGCTAGAAGGCCGCTTGTAGACTCTTTCCAGCGCAGCCTCTTAAAAGACACCCGAGACTGTGAACTTAAAGCCTAAATCTCAACCACACCGACCCTAAAGTCACTAAAGCTGGTGCCCGGTCGCTGATTCGACAGCTCCAGCTCCGCCTGCGCGGGAGTTCTCGGTTTTTTGTCTGAGGGAGGGCGCGCTTGTACTCTCGAACGAAGGTTCAGCCTAGAGAGTTTAGGGTGGGTTTCTGAACACTGTGTTTCAAAATCCGACCCGATGATGGGGCCCTTGTCATTCCCATACAAGACTTGCAGCAACAAAAAACTTCGCAGCCTTGTGGCCACTACTAAGATAAAACCACCTCACTGAGAACGTGGTCGGCCATACCGACATTCCTAGGTGTCAAATGCTTCTTAATGGTGATTCTCCGCAGGGCTTCGTGATTACTTGCATTTTGTATGGCGTGGCGCAAAGCCAGAGAAAACATTCTGGGCTTGCCATGAATTGCCATGGCGAAACCGCGGAAGAAACCCGGCAGACTGGAGCAATCCGATAAGCTAGGCGTGTCGTGACAAGCTTTCCATCGTTGCCTCCTCAACTCTCCTCTGAGCAGCCGACCTCCGGGAAGCACACGATGACTTGAACTCAACCCTCCGTTGGGGCGCGTTCTAACCCTACCATGAATGAACATGTGCTGATACTCATGGGACAGTAGCTCGCACGATGTTTCAAGCTCTGCACCTGGCAGCAATGGCAGCCACAGCAGCCACTGCAGATGCGGTAAGCACCTTGTCACGAAGTGGGTCGAGTGGCACGGACCCTTCACGGAAAGTTGCCGGCTTGGCGACGGCGAGAACGATTTGAGTTATCTTCGAACATCTCTGCACGTTGTCCGCCCGTCTAGCTCCCGTTGTTGTGCAACCTGCGGGCTTCTGCCTCACAATTTGCAGCTTTCTTCAGCATCCCCCCTTAACCCCTCTCTCTCTCCCTCTTTTTCTTTTTCTTCTCCGGGGTCCAGGGAGCTTGCCTCTCTCTCTCTCTCTCTCTGTCTCTCTCTTTCTCTCTCTCTCCTTAACCCTTCTTTTCCACAGGCTTGAACTGAGCTCGCCTGGCCAAGGTCCCTCGCAGCACATCGCAGTCGTGGCGAGATGCGCAAGGCTAAGTACGCACAATTCTCACGATCTTACGGGCTAATAAGGGTAGCCCCTGTGACGACCCATG